ACTGTAAAGTTATCTTACCGTAGATGAGAAGCAGTAGAAGAGAAAAGTTAAAAAACAAAGAAACTGAATATACAGTAAACACACACTGGAATATACTGTCAGTAACTGTACAGCTATAAATAGCCTAAATAGTTAATTAAATAAAGAAATAAATTCAGCATCCTCTGCCAAGCTGCATGGTGCCTGGGAGCTGACATGTTCGGTTCACTTAGTTTTGTCGTGGCCACGAGCCCACTAACTCGTGGGTACATGATATTATGTCATGTGTCCACGGGATCATTTTGTCGAGGTAACAACATCCTTATGTGTGGCCTCGAGATGTTATGTTGAGGGAATGACATATTTTTCTCCTGGCCACGAGTTTAATGCGTAAACAAACCGGTGTGACCATAGCAACTCGAGATTATCTGCACATTTTTGCATGCAGATTTAGTTCTGCACAAATACAGTACGTATAAGGACTACTTGGCTACAAATCAATTTACCAGTTATAAGTTTGAGGGTGTCTGCTACAATATTTACAGTACTAAGAACAGTAAAAATGATCTGATCTGAAGTACTTCTGCAATGTACTTTAATTGTAATGTATAAGTACTGTAAAACAATTTTGATGAAAACACTAAGCAAAATGGATCATGTGCGAAAACAGGTGAAATGTGGTAAAAGTTTTGAGAAACGTGTCTTTGTTTTGGAAAATTGGGCCAAATGAATCTGTTATAGTGTGTTAGCAATTGAGAAAACCTGTAAATAAGTAGTAAGGCTTATTTAAGCCTATATTAATCGTTGTTTTCTTTTAGTATTGTGATTTCATTCTTTTACCTTGAACTTCTGGCTCCACTTCTTCTCTCCCATTTTCATGGTATGCCCGCCTTATGCCTTCTCAGTTTATTCTCCAATTCTCCCATATCCACTTACATTTTTTTGGTGTGTCATCATTAAATACATCTATGGCAAGCTAGGACCATATCTCTGAGGAATTTGCAGTGTTTCTATTCAAAATATCAGCTTTCTGCAGCTTCTTTACTATAAAATTTGACCTTTTCCCATAGATCTGATCTTAAAAGTTTAGTCCCCTTTTCATATCTCCCCATCTTACAGTGTGAGAGATCTAAGTCTGACTATGCCGATCCAGTGTAACTACACTGTCCATCATCAGAGAATCTGGCATTGTGAGTGGCCGTTCTTCCTCTGACCCGGACCTTAATGTTTCACAACATTGTCCTGTGAAAGGGTGCTTGTCACTGTGAGAAAGTATGTGTTATCATTACGTTTACAAGTGAGTTCAAACTTGAGGGAACGTGTGTGTGTGTGTGTGTGTGTGTGTTTGTGTGTATTTGCACCTGGTTTTCTGCAGGTGTGTCTGTGTGTGTGTGCAGACATTTTAAAGGGCAGTGGCTCAAACCAGAAAAAGGGGCACTAAGGGGGTGGGTGTTTGTTCATTCAAAATGTCCAGGTGATGCAAAAATACATTTTAAAAAGACAACACACTGAAATAATTTCAGACTTTATTGTATATGCTTTGATAGAACACTTTGCTGATAATAACAGAAACTATTTACTAGTTCAAATGTTTATATTTACCTGTTCCTTTCACAGGAAAGCGCTTTTTTTCTTTTTTTTTTTACTACGTCCTGAAATATCTTGATAACCTCATCTTTTAATGATTCACAATTTCAGTTTTTTTTTTAATTGCCGCACTAAAAAAGATACTTGAGGGCCACTTTGTGGAACCATTCACTGATATACCTTATCTTTAGACCAAGTCTGCAAAACTATATGCACATCACATGCTTTAAACTCAGTTGGATATTGTAAAACAAACTTCTTGCAGAACTGTAAACAGTTTTCTACATTGCACACATCATTTGAAAATAACAGCTCTTTTGGGAAACACTGCCATTTTAATGCCATACTCATCTACTGATGACCTACACACAGTGATCATGTGTGAAAACACTTATACATAAATTGTTCACCTAGTAATCAAAACTCGTTTTATGTAAAAAATTAATTATTTTTACCCCCTTGCATTTCTGTTTACATTGCATGTACAGGTATATTGTACAAGGGATGCATATTCACTGCGTGTGTGTGTGACTATATATATATATATATATATATATATGTGTGTGTGTGTGTTCCCATTGTGTTGTCGTCACCACCAGAAATATTCTCAGTCTCTCAGAGTGTTACATCCGGGGAGCAAGAAAACACAGAGACGGGTATTCTCCTTACTCCAGCTTTTATTCTCTAATACAATAGTATATATAGACATTTTTTTGAGGGGAGTTTTACCCCTCTAACCAATGAGATAAAATATGAGATATGTTGTACACAAGCAAAGAAATATACCTTATATAAAATGGAGATATAGTCAGAAAGTTCTGGACATATTAGTGACACACTTGAATGGGGAGAACTACATCCATATGCCAAGTGTCAATAGTACAGAGTACTACTGACCAAACTCAGCCACCTCAGAGATAGAAGGCCCTCGTCCTCAGTTGAACATTTGAACTCCTAAATAATATCTATATATCGAACATGGAACATGCATACAAGCCAAGTCAGAAAGTCAAGAAAGTTTTCTAAAGTGCTTTATACAGTATAGATTGTTTCACAGCAGCTTCAAAATAGTATCAAATCCATATTCTGCTATAAAGCAGCTTTAACAAGTCAATAGAGTAATCCTACAGCCCATGTCAGTTGAGTATTGATTCAGTTCAGTTGCATAACTGTGTAAAATTCCTCTGTCATACATACTGTTCATACAGTGTATATGTGCATATGCATGTACAGTATGTGTGAGTGCTATGACTAACTCCTGTTCTTCACTGCACTCTGAACAAGCAAAAGACACATGGAAGTAGGGTTTTAATTTTTTTCACATGTGTGTGTAGTTTGGCGTGTATGTGCTTATTTTATGTTTGTATGTACAGTTAATATGCAAAAATACTATTTTAGAAGATTAAAATAGTTTTGAAAGAAGTGTTTGCTTTTACAAGATGTATGTGATGTTTTGCATGTTGTGTGTGTGTTTTGTGGTTTTCTGTGTAGAGTTTTGAGAAATAGAGGCCTAGTTTAAAACTGTGCGTAAGCATTTTGAACAAACTTTCCTGAACAAATGTAAGAAGAGTTTGTTGTTCTTTTAACTATTCCAAGTCCCTCGGAAGTGGACTCTTGTCAAGACTGCATCCGCCACACCAGAGCGGTGTTTTATATATACACACACACATACATGCAGTATATAAACATTTTTGATATATTGACCAAACTTAGGTGTGATATATTTTGTTTGTGTTTGTGTGTGTGTGTGTGTGTTTTCTTTAAAAAGATGTACTATATACAATAAGCATTTTCTGTAACTACATGCACTGACACAGTGTTCTCCATTTTTTGATGTAGTGTCTGATGAATGATCTGTAGTGCGTGTAGTATTAACTAATATGTGTATGATTTCAAAGCCTTGTTTGATGTTGACTACAAGTTAAATGGTTTAAGTGATTGTTTGATATTGCCAGAAGAGCCAGGGGTTCTGTGATTGTAGTTTGAAGATTTGGATTTGTGTTTAAGGTTTTAAGAAAGAGCGATGCTTTCAAGAAATGTGTTTTAGCAATTCAGAAAAACTGTAAAAATTATGTCCCACATATACAGTATATACCCATATGTGTATAAAATAAAGGTTAAGAGAGGTGAGGCAAAAGAAAAGACAGGGAGAGCAAAATAACTATATACATTGACATTTAAAATTGTTTAAAATGTTTTTAAAGTATTTGTTTCCATTTAAAATGTATTTAAGAGCTTGTCCAAATAAACCTCCTCTATGTTGCCAATTTCTTTGATGAAGACATTTATACAGCATTCAGAAAGAAGTGAGTTAAAAAGTACAGTAATCTGAGGCGGGTTGAGAATAGGACACACAAGTTTAAATAGCTGTTTAAGATTAAAAGGAAAACAGCAGACAGGATTATGTATACACTGTGGAGAAGTGGAAAGTGTAGAACATGTAACACTTGAAAAGACTCTAGGAAAGAACTAGAGAAGGCATCGAATAATGGATTGAATTTAAAAAACCTATTGAGTCTGCCTGGCACACATTCTATAATTAAGACTGTCATGAACTTTCTGAAAGAAACTCAGCTTGTAAACAGGATTTAGGTTGTTGTTACATATATATATATATATATTAACACAGTAGCTAGTGGCGGTAGTGCACTTTGTTTGCAAACTGGCAATAAAAAACAGAGAAGAAGAAAAACGAAGAAGAAGTTGTTCTTTGATGACTTTAGTACCATGGACAGCAATCGTTGCAGGCTGTCTCAATAGAAACATGTAATTTGTAGACAGTCCCTCAGATGAGCGATGACGTCACGACAGTCCATAGAGGTGAGCGTGTTTATCAGCTTCTTGAAAACGTCGAGTTCGACAGAAACGTGTGTTCTGATATGTGCTCATAATAGTCGGCAGTGATACGATTCATCGCACAGACCGGTTATATATATGTCGCACTGTACAGCCCTGTTAACTCATAACTTTTTCAAAATTTTTCTCAATTTAAATAATTCATCATTTATGTTAGTAATATTTTGCTACAATTGTTTTTTTTTTTTATAAAAAATTTAGCAAACGTTATATGTTGACAATACTGCAATGGTAACGAGAGAAGAACGTGATCTGACCACATGATGTATGATTAACCGCTCTCGTGTGACGCTGTATGAATGTAAAACTTGTATATAGGCTGTGTCCGAAGCCTGGAAAATGCTGCCCTCGGAGGTTCGGAGGACACATTTCAAGGCTTCAATGCACGTCAATGTTAGCTTCTCTGTCAGAGAACTGAAGGTAGCCATAGGAAAAAGCCGACTCTATGTCATACCTCTGGCTGAGATTGATCAGGTACGTCTTGTGTTGGTACTGTAGTCCCTAACATGTGTTTGCTCTTATGAAAGGTCCAATGTTGGCAATGTTTCTGTAGGAATCGGGATCTGATGCCATGACGAAATAAGACATTCATACATCACCGAGGTAATTAAGAGAAGTTTATTTATAATTGATAAGCAGTTGACGGGGTTATTTTGCAGAATATGAGTTACTTGAGAAATGAACTACATCGTAAAAAAACAGCCAATGACTAATCTACGGCTGCCAAACAAAAACAGTGAAATTGTACCTCTAGTAAAATAAAGTGCAAAAAACCTTAACAGAAATTGTTCCTAAATGTTTTACAGAAAAAGTTATTTTACAGATATATCCTTCTTGAATGATTACGACCAGACACCTTCACTGTGAAAAAGTGACTGTCAGCAATGGCTGCCAAACAAAAAGTAAAATGAATGTTAAAGTAGCCTAATTTCAATAAAGCGCAATTTTTTTTTTCATGAAACAGTTTTTTTTAATAGGCATTCCCTGAATTATTACTACCAAATGAAGGTATTTTGATTGTACTAATTTAGGAAATACCTGTAAAATAAGTTTTTTTTTTTTTTGGTTTATTTTTTTACAATGAAGGTATTTGATTGTTATTGTATTGAGTTTTGAGTACAAATTAAAATAAAAGAAAACGACTGTAAAAAGATGGGTTATTTTCCATAAATTAGGATTTTTGCTTTTACGGGGTACTCCTTTCTAAACTTAATTTGTAATTTTTTTTTCAGACCGTTGAGGAACGTAGGGCAATGTGCCAACTACAAGATCAGGAATATAGTGCTTCATTGTTGGCAGACAGAGAAAAGGTATGTTTTTATAAGGTACATTTAATAAAGGGTTAGTTCACCCAAAAATGAAATTTCAGTCATTAATTACTCACCCTTATGTTGTTCCAAACCCCTAAGACCTTCGTTCATCTTCAGAACACAAATTAAGATTTTTAATGAAATCCGAGAGCTCTCTGATCCCGCCATAGATAGCAATGTAACTGCAACTTTAGTAGTACACATATGTACATATTTAGTAGTACATTTGATATACAGTATGTAGTGGTACATATATCGTTAAAACAGTCCATGTGACTGCAGTGGTAGTGTAGACAGCACAGGTCTTCAGAGTTTTATGTCAGAATGCTGGCTGGCTCACTATTGGCTGGATTCTGCATCAGCCTCACAAGCATGCATCGTGGCACAAAACTCAGAAGCAATGCGCTGTTTACTCTGTGGATAGCGTAGCAAGATGAAATGGAGTAGAAGAGATTATTGAATAAAGTAGTTTTTTTTTTCATAAAGTATCCTCGTCGCTTCATAAGATTATGGTTGAACCACTGCAGTAACATGGACCATTTTAACAATGTCTTTACTGCCTTTCTGGGACTTGAAAGTTGCAGTAACCAAACTGTGTGGATGGATGAGAAAGCTCTCGGATTTCATCAAAAATATCTTAATTTGAGTAATAATGACATAACTTTCATTTTTAGGTGAACTAACCCTTTTAGTTAGGAATTCATTTAAAAGAATACATTATCAACTAAATTTCCTACATTAGGAGATGAGACGCCAACAACTTCAGGCTCAGGAGGAAAGACGCCTAAAGGTAACTGCTTCCTTAAACTTTGTAATTCAGTCTTAAATTTAATTGTTATATTTAATTGTCTTAAAGCTGTCAAATATAATAATTGATTTGTTAAAGGCAATTCATGAACGACGACAGAGGATGGCTTCTGTCCCAGAGCCTTCAGATGGTGTCCCTCTAAGGTTTAAATTTCCGAATGGACAGATGAAAAGCAGAAAATTTAGGATGTCAGAATCAGTTCAGGTAATGTCATACTATGATGTTTTGTTTATGGTACTTCAAGGGTTAGTTCACCCAAAATTTAAAATTCTGTCATTTATTACTCACCCTCATGTCGTTCCAAACCTGTAAGACCTTCGTTCATCTTCAGAATACAAATTAAGATATTTTTGATAAAATCTGAAAGCTTTCTGAACCATCTATAGGCAGCAAAGTAATTGCAACTTTCAAAGCCCAGAAAGGTAGTACAGACAGTTCAGCCTTTATTTAACAATTTCTTCTGGTTTGTAGGGCTTGGTATCGAATTTGATACTTTTTAGGTACCGACCGAATTGCCTCGATATTATTGAGTATCGAAAATTGCCTTATCATTCAGCACCAAATTTCGATACCTCCGAAGGGAGCTGGGGAGAGGAGGCGGAGAAATGCTGTTGCGGTCTCGTGACATTGAGCAATGTAATAAAGTTGCACTACACGGTTATTTATATCTAAATATATAAAACTATGCACACAAGAGAGACCCTGTGTGCGAGAGAGCAAGTGAATCAACGGTTTCACTTTCAGTTTCTCCGAAAAGGACGGGTGAGAGTACCGGCTGTTTATGCGAGCTGCCCTTTCACTACAGTCACTCCAGATACTGTGAACAGCAGAACAGAAGTGCCTGCACAAACAGTGATTTGCAGAGCGATTTAAAAAAATAAATAAAAATGAACTCACTGCTGTGTGTTAGTTATTCTTATATTATTCGTTATTCTCCACATATAGCACGTTCTGATCCCTAAATACCTTTTGTATTCTGACAAGTGCCCTTGTTGTTTGTGTACAGAAACCGACGAGTCCGTTTTCGCGTTTACTACATTTGTACAATGTAAACTCAACGGGTATGAAATAAGATCAGTAAGAGAAAAACTGTTAATGAAAAGACAAGCAATGCACTGCGACAGATTAGTTGGGAAATATTTATTTAAAATGCACATTTGCACAAATATATTTATAGGAACATTTCAGCAGGTAGAAGATCGATGTAAACGTCCTCTGTTTTGAAATGCATAGGCATATTACACACAAACTTACTATTGCATATCATTTTAGAAGAACCTTCATCCCGCTGATTCAGTCTCACCCATGCTTTCCTCAATTCTTTCTTTTTTGTTGTGAAACTGTGAAATCTGAGGAAAGGGTGTCGTTGTTTAGAATTACAGTTCCTAGATAAACCGAGGTCTTATGGGTTTGGATCCACATGAGGGTGAGTAATTAATGACAGAATTTTCATTTTTGAGTGAACTAACCTTTTAAACATCCCTGCAAACGTGTTACCTTTAATCTTGAACCTTCATCCCGCTGATTCAGTCTCACCCATGCTTTCCTCAATTCTTTCTTTTTTGTTGTGAAACTGTGAAATCTGAGGAAAGGGTGTCGTTGTTTAGAATTACAGTTCCTAGATAAACCGAGGTCTTATGGGTTTGGATCCACATGAGGGTGAGTAATTAATGACAGAATTTTCATTTTTGAGTGAACTAACCTTTTAAACATCCCTGCAAACGTGTTACCTTTAGGTGAAATTCACCAATCTGTCATTGAAATTAAATAAAACTATTGATTCAAATACATTTTTAGAGAAATTGAAAGACTATTGTTTTTATTATTAGAGTTGATCTCCCCACCCTTCTCGCAACGTGCTTGATACAGTTCAATCCTCAGCACACAGCAAGGGTTGGGAATATTAATGTTCTTTGATTGAATATACATATTTAAATTAGCATTTTAATAAACAACAGTATTCCATAAAAAACAAGAATTTTTTCTACTTTTTTTCCAATTTATTTTCCCCCAGACATTGTTTGATTTTGTTGGACAAGATGATTCATCTACTGAGGATTTTTGCCTTAGAGAAGCCACGTCAGACATTCTGATTTACAGTACCCTGTCAGGTTCAATGAAGGACCATGACATAATGGGTTTCTCAACCCTCTATGTTCAGTGGACTCCCGCAGAGGAAGAGGTACAGTGTTTGATTTGTTATTTGCAGTGTCTCTTTCACTGATTGATTGAAAGGCAGCTGCTACCTGTCTTGATTTTGCGGTGTACTAGAATAGGTTGTCATGCATGATAGAAAAAAATACATTTTTCACATTTTACAGTTCTTCTTTCCCATCTGTCTCAAAATGCCCTGTTTAGCTCCTGTTTCGAGGAAGGCACTCCTTCCGAAATGCAGAATGTGCTGTGATTGGTCAGCTGTAGGAGTTGGGGGATTAAATATGAACATATTAATTGCATATGTTCTGTCTTAATATTGTAGAATTGAATCTTCAGCCGATTTAAGTAAATTCACAAATTTCAAAAATCAATGTTCTAAATGTTAATGATGTTATGTTGTCTTTGTTCACCCAAAAATGAAAATGCCATTTAACAAAAATGAATAAGACGAGGCATGGCATACACCACATGCTGTATTATATACAGACTAATAAATTACAGAACGTTTAGCAATCACTGAGGAATCAAACAAATAAAAAAGAGAGCCTCCATAGCATAACGTGAACAGTAAAGATAAGCTTTTCAAAATGAAAACAAAAAGAAAAGTAAAACTAAACATGCTGCCGGTGAGTGCTTGCATGTTTTCCCCCCCACAAGAATACCAACATGTTCACCTTCTCTTGTTTAAGAAGCGGTCTTTTACTTGACTTTAGCATGAAACCCATCCATCGTTTCATTCACCACCATTTCTGCTGCACGCAGCTCGCGCTCGTGCTGACACGGCAGTATAAGCCAGGCTCTACACTCCATAAGTGCTGCGCAGCTCAAACGAGTCGCGCGGTTTCGTTTGCCGTTTGATGTTTCTCACATGCAACAGAAATGAGAGCGCTTACGAGGATAAATAAACACTGTCCAGCACAGGGCTCCAGAGTGCGACCAAATGCTGTTTAAAATGTCGAAATTAAAATGAGATTCTCGGTGGCTGGGTGCTCCCTCTGGCCTGGAACTAACATTAATTTATAAATAATTGGAAATTAAAGGCTTTAGATTTCCGAGAAACGCGCCTGGACTGCAGCAGTGAAGCGAGAAGCAGAATAGCAGCTCGCAGCTCGTGGATCTAACAGTTTTCTGTTTTAATATTCTTGATATTTATTCCTGTGATGCGCAGCTGAATTTTCATCAGCCTTTACTCCAGTCTTAAGTGTCACATGATCCTTCAGAGACCACTGTAATGTGCTGATTTGATGCTTGGTTATTGTCAGTGCTGGAAACAACTGTGCTGCTTAATATTTGTTTTCTGGAACCTGTGACACTTTATACAGGATTGATTGAATCCTGGCAGGGTTTTTCAAAATATAGAAATCTTTCCTAACAGTATGTCTTCATTATCACTTTTTTAAATAAATGTAACATCCTTGCTGAATAAATGTATTAATATTACAATACAAAAAACTGACCCCAAACTTTTGAACAGTATACCATGTTGTTACAAAACGTTTTTATTTTAAATAAATCCTGGGTTTTTTTATTCTTAAAATTGTGTTTCCAGCTCTGATAATAAATCGGCATATTATACTGATTTCTGAAGATCATGTGACACTGAAGACTGGAGTAATGATGCTGAAAATACAGCTGCACATAAATACAGAAATACATTACAGTTTAAAGCATATTAACCTGTTTAATCCCACATTTTTCTCAGACGTGAAAATATCCAAATGATGTGTCATTAGTATTCCTTTGAAATATCAAGAATTAATTTTTACATTTTTTTGGGAAAAGTGTTTACTCATTCTATGACCACACTCAACAAAACTGAATATATGTGAATTCATATATTAATACTAGACACCCTAAAAATAATGTGTACCAAAAGTCTTTGTCATATCTTTGTTAACATACTTTACTATAGCCTTTCATTTTGCAGCTTTGATGCAGCCATCATCTTCTCAAGATGCAAACAAGAAATAAACTGCTCTGGTCGTGTGACAATTTGCACTAACCATCTGACACTGCACATATTTAATTGACACCATTTATTTTTTCCATATTTGCATGAAGTGCACCAAAACATTAATCAGTAAGTTTTTTTAGAGCTTTATAAATGAAAACCTTTTTTTACGGTCACTATTGTGACCAGTGGGATTAAATGGGTTAAAATAGGAAACCATTATTTTAAATTGTAATAAAATTTCTAAATATTACTGTTTTTGTCTGTATTTTTGATCAATTCAGTGCAGGTTTGATGAGCATAGGAGAATTCTGTCAAAAACATTAAAAACAGTAATAGTGCCCACACTTTTGACCAGTACTTCTGTATGTGTATGAGCGTTTACAGTAAATGTGCATTAAAAAAAACATACATACCCACATATATACTGTATGTAGTGTGTGTGCGCTTTTATTAATCTGCATGTAGGCTATACTTTTATCTTTTAAAAAAACTAATACAGGTTTATGCAAAACACCGCAGCCAGCATTGAATTGCAGTCAGCTTGTTATGGCTCAGATAGAGCATTCCAATGCTTTCTCGCACTGTTCCACAGCAACACACTTGTCCAAACTAAGCACACATTTTAAAACAAATGAAATCAGTAATAATGGCATTTATTGCTTAGTATCCTAGCATTCATTTAGCGTTGTAATATACATATACAAAATTGGATATTATTTTCGTTGACAAGGAGGTTGTGTCTGAAGTCTGAAATATTTCAGATTATTAATGAAGGCAATACAGCATGCTAAAATCTTTGAGGGGCCTGAACAACGTAGGCACTTAACCCTTGATACACATGGTAAGTATTTAAAACAACTGTTACTATTGTAAGTAGGGCTGTATATTTGAAAAAAATGACATTGGGATATTTGGTACAAATATCCCAATGTCATTTGGCCGGACGGCCAGCTCTAGGAAGGGTTCTGGTCGTCCCAAACATCTTCCATTTAAGGATTATGGAGGCCACTGTGCTCTTAGGAACCTTAAGTGCAGCAGAAATGTTTTTGTAACCTTGGCCAGATCTGTGCCTTGCCACAATTCTGTCTCTGAG